TCAGGTCCTTCAGACTCTCTTTTTTAATCCTTTGAATACAAAAGAGCTGATCCCATCCTCTATCCATAAAGTAATCCGTAGATTTTAAGTCTTGGTATGGTGAAGGTCTTTGAAATACAAAGGACAGTTTATGATTACACAAGATCCAAACCTAATTCTGCCTAAATCCAACATCTGTACTGTCAAGCCTGATATTATACTGTCTCTCCTTAAGAAAATCTGGCGATGAAACAAGGAACGTAGGTGAATAGTTTAAAGAAAAAAAAAAAGGTTCTGGAAGATAAGAAAGGTACAGGCAAGGTTTGAAGCCAGAGAGCAGGAGGCCAACAGAGAGACCATCTGTTAGATTGTTACTTTTGTTGGTTCTTCTCTCCTCTGAGACTGAAAGATTTCTGGAGATTGGGATCTCTCTCACCACACCCGATATTATACCCTGCACATTTTAAATGCTAAATAAATGTCTTCAGATGGTTGATGGTCTCAAACTGTGATCTCTTTAGAGGCCCACGGTTCAACAGGATATGAGAACTCTAGGGTTAAAAGTGATGAAAGGGTGGAAAGCATAGGACAGCGTGGTGAAAGACTGTGTGAAGAAGCTCAGTAATTATAACCTGGCATCAAAGGCACTGTGGTGGGTAAGACAGAGGCAAAGACTGGAAAATAGCTACATTCTTCACAGAGAACACATTGCACATGGCGACCACAGCGAGCACAGGAACAATGTGGGTAAAAGTTCCTGCTCTTCAGCTTCCTAGCTAGGCTAAGAAGTCAGTGCATTTTTTTCTGTCACTTTAGCTATGTGCTCTGGCCAGCTAGCAAACGGGGATAGGTAAGTATTGACCTGAATCAGAGAGGTTGTGTTGTAGCCATTCCCCTCAAATGCAATGAGCCTCCCATTGTGACAATCTCTGTCTGGCATGACCTCATGTGGGAGACTATGGTACAGTCACAGGATGAGGCAGAGGGGTGAACAAAGGTAGAAAATAAAACTTCTGAGAAGAACTTAAGGGCACAAAGGCAGCAGTGACTGTAGCTTATCCACAGATGTTGAGTAGAAGTGATCCAGATGTTTCAGTACCTCTTTGCTCTACTGAACACCAAGTGATTGAACAAAACCGCCGTAACTTATTATAAATTCCTAGAACTTATCTGGTTTAAAAACCCTTAAGCAAATCTCAGCACAACTAGAAAGGGCTCAAGGCACTGGGCTGAGTGAGTCTCCTGGTCCTTCGCTGGCTGCCTGCTGGCATTCTCAGATGGAGGGTTGAGGTAGAGTTGGAGGGAGTTAGCAGGAAGGAAGGGAAAGGATTTATTTGTTTACTCATTTAAGAAACATTTCTTGAGTGTCTGTTCTGTGTTAGGCACAGTGCGAAACAATGGGGTACACTTATCATCTGATAGAATAACCATTAATAATGCCGGACACGCCTCGTATCCTAGCCAAAGCTACTAAGCTACCAACTGCAAAGGAGCACTTGTATTGAAAATAGCATATGACTCACATTTTGAAGGGTTTTTTCTATTGTATAGTTAGAAATGAAGAAGAAGCTCTAAAAATTATCCCTTCATTAATAAATTCTTTAATCCCATATTCTTTGTCAACCTCTCCTATCAGTGATTTCTTTGTAATATCTACTCACATTGTCTCTTTTGTGAGTGAAAATCAAAGATGAGCCCTTGTGCAATGCCTGGAAACTCTGACACGCACGACATCAATTATTTCTTACACTGATTTGGTAGCTGAACAATAAGTGAAATGTACCCTTTAGATGAAAATTTGCTCTGCATTTTATGTAGACAGTTCAATATTATATCCTTATTTTTTCTAGATCCACAAAGTAAACAGATTTTTTTTATGCCATAGACTATACAGATCTCTGTCCTGTAAAACTTTTGTTCTAAACAACTAAGATCCAGAATTGAATAAAAGGTTTTTTACAACGTTGTATATTGTTGTATTATTAAAACATATTTCAAGAAAGCTAAGATAGTATCCGTATGAGATGAAATGAAATAAACCTACAAGGTTACTATATATTTATACATAAACTTTACCTAAGGATATTTATAAATCCACAAAGTAATAACACAGGTATGTTACCTTTACTGACTTCTTAATGTTAGTTTTTAAACAAGGCAGTTGAATCTTTTTTGACACTTGAACATCCTAAGAAAGTTTTACTCTTTTTTTCTTCTAGAGATTTTTTTCACATTGTTATATTTAAAGACTAAATCTACCTACCCCAAAGATTACCTAATTAATTTCCTCTAGTACTTTAAAGCAGAGTCATTGCTACCACAATCAATCTCTACACCCTCACAGTTTTCATTCTTCAAATAATTTTCCTCTTGCTACCTCTTTTTCTAATAACAGAATTCCTTCTATAGTATATCACTTCTTCCCCAGGGCTACCATTATCTCGTTTGCAAAAATTCATGATGCTTAATGGAATAATTTGCTGAAGAAAAACCACATGACATCAAAACAGAAGTCAGTCCAACATGTTCCTAGACCAAGTATAGGAGGTCTATTCTTGAGTGAGAACTCACAATCCAGAATAATAAGCAATTTTAAATAATTACATTTAAAGGGTGTTGTTACTAGACATTTACCAGAGAAGCAAAACTAATACATATGAGCTATCAATAAATGTTTATGCATTTTTGAGCGGCTTTAACTAGAACTTACACAACTAAAAACTTTAGAAAAAAATAAATCCTTCCTGGGAAAAGTGTGCAACAGTTTGAATCATCAAAAAGAAGGTGGAAAAGATAAGGAACATTTGAGGATATAATCCTATGCGACAAAATACCATAGCCTTAATTTACCCATCTCCGTTTAAGTCTCTCTTCAGAACTTTAAAGAGGATTAAATTTATTTTTGTTCAAAAAGAGATTTTAAAACATGTTTAACTTTCAGAAATATCTTAATCATTCCTAGTGTTTCTTACAAAGAATTAATTAAGAAATGCAGCCTGTATAAGCCTTCCATTATATTTATAGGTTACCATTATTAAATATAGAGATACCAACTCTTCATAATATGTAGTAGAAGCTTGTGATCATCTTAATCAACATGCATGTTTATAAGTAAAATTTTAAAAGCAGTGTATAAATGTGTCCCAATTTAAATTTGGTCTAGTTTCAATGTTCATTTTGGTAGTTTTAAACAAAAGTTCATACTAGGGGCTTCCCTGGTGGCGCAGTGGTTGGGAATCCTCCTGCCAGTGCAGGGGACGTGGGTTCGAGCCCTGGTCCGGGAAGATCCCACATGCCGCGGAGCAACTAAGCCCGTAAGCCGCAACTACTGGGCCCGTGTGCTGCAACTACTGAAGCCCATGAGCCTAGAGCCCGTGCTCTGCAACAAGAGAAGCCACTGCAATGAGAAGCCCACACACCGCAACGAAGACCCAACACAGCCAAAAATAAATAAATGAATAAATTTATAAAACAAACAAACAACAACAAAAAAAAGTTCATACTAAAAGAAAAGTAAGATTTTTACAAATGTAAGAACCTGTTTGGGAACATTTCTTTTTAGCTACATTGTCTAGGAATAGATTTGCATGCAAATATGTTTAGCTAAACTTGAACTATAGAATGGAGGGAATATAAGTTGGGAAGAAAAAAGGTATGCAAAATGCCTACAGACATGTAAAAGTGATCCTATTTAGTTAGAAATACCTACACTCTAACATCAATTGTGGCACCAGCTAAGTCCTTCCTTCTTTTAAAATGAGAAGGAACAGATATTTCAGTAGATTAAATAGCAAACATACTAAAAGGGGGCTAAATTTATGCAGCAACCTGCTTTATTTCTTAAAATTCTATCTTGAAGAAGAGTTGTTTTTTAATAACTCTAAAACAGTAGTGTTTGGGGAGCTTAGTCTGAAGGAAAGTAACAAGAATAAAGAATACATATGTGTGTGTGTGTATACACACACATACGTTTACACATATACATACTTTTACGTTATATATTAAAACTGTTAGAAGCATATATATGTGTGTATATAGCACACACACACACACACACACACACACACATACACACACACACACAACTTGTAGAGTCAGGGTAGGGCAGGACATTTAAGAGAGAGAGAATTTTATTTTTCCAGGAGAAAAAAAAAAGATATTAAGGTTGTGTCTTTAAGTTACATCAGGATAATATATGTGTTGTCAGTGGCGTGATGGCTCTCAAAAAGATATGTCTTAATCCCTGGGAACTGTGAGTGTGACTTTATTTGGAAAAAGGGTCTTTGCACATGTAATTAAGGATCTTGAGATGAAGAGATCATCCCGAATTACCCAGGTGAGCTCGAAATCCAGTGGCAAGTGTTTTCCTAAAAGACACACAGAGGAGAATACAGTCACAGAGGAGAGGACCAAGTATAGGAGGTATGAAGGTAGAGGCAGAGATGAAGGTAGAGGCAGAGAAAAGAGTGATGAAGCCACAAGCCAATGAAAGCTGACAGCTACCAGAAGCTGGAAGAGCCAAGGAATAGAATTTAGAATCTAGAGTTTCAGGCAGGAGAACAGCCCTGCTAACACCTTGTTATTGGACTTCTGTTCTCCAGAACTGTGAGAGAATAAATGTCTGCTGTTTTTAAGCCACCCCATTTGTGGTGATTTGTTATAGAGGCCACAGGAAACGAATACAATATGTATATGTATTGTGTGTGTGTGTGTATGTATACATATACATATATATGTAAATATATAAATACATACATTTGTATGCGTATGCTCATGTACTAAAACACTACTAGTACACCTACATACATACCATACCACGTATCACACGAGAGCCTATGAAGTGAGGTGAAGTTATCTGTGCCACACCATGTCTTAAAGCCAAGTTTAGCCTCTGCTAGCCATAGAATATAGTTGATGTGCCGAGGACTATGCTAAGTCCTTTGGAAGGAACAGTGACCATCGTTACTCAAGGAACGTCCCGGGGGTGAACACACACAAGTAACCCCTTTAAATGTATTACGATGACGCTTGCTAAGCTTGCATGTTGGGAGGCTGAAGAGCTGCTAAAGTTCAGTGTAGGAGGGGCAGGAGTGGAGATCACAGAAAGTTTCCCAGAGGAAGAAACTTCTAAGTTTAGTGAAGCCAGAAAGGTGAGTTAGCATGGTAGTGGTAGCAGCAGAATGGCGGGGGCGGAGGGGGGAGCCTAGGGGAAGGACAGGGATGGGGAGCGTTCAGGCTAAGGGAACAAAATGTGTATGAAAGAAGTTCTGTAAGGCTGCAGTGGGAAAGAGGCACGAGCTGAGACGGAGTGCATAGGCAGAGACCAGAGAATGGCGTCTTGTAAGTTATTCTAAGGAGTTTATGCTTTACCATGAGAGCACTGGGGGCCACTGGAGGTTTTTAAGCCAGAGAAGGACATAAGAACATTTAGAAAAATCACCATCTGTGGTGTGAACTAATGTTGGGAAAAGTTGGAGCCAGAGATACTTTTTTATCCGGCTACCGCAGCAGCCCAGGCAAAAGATGATGGTGTTCTGGATGTGAGGACCAATACAGGGATGAACAGGCAACGGGCACTTGGGTGAATATGGGTTAGAAGAATAGAACAGAGATATCTGGGTGTCTAACCTGAGTAATTGGGTGGGTAGTGGGGTCATTTCCGAAACCTGGCATGAAAGCCAAGGGGCAGATGCTGGAGAAGGAGATGAGTTCAGAGCTAAAATGTGTGAGGGCCACCCCGATGGAGATTCCAAGGCAATTGGATATGTGGGATGGGAACTCAGACTACAGATTATCTGGGTTAGAGATACAAACTCAGGAGTCATTAACACACAGATGATCACGGAAGATATAGGAACAATTGCAAGATCCCAGGCGAGCAGGTGCAGTAAGAATTTGAAGGCACACAGGACAGAACTCTCAGGAATACCAAGTTGTAGAGATAGAGGAAGAGGAAGTCTCAAAGGTGACAGAGGGGGAGCCAAAGAAAGAGGAGAAAAAACACACAAGCATAGGTTGCAGAGACCCAGAGGCAACGGTATTTTATGAAGATGGGAGTGGCCAGCAATGGTAAATGCCCCAGATAGTGTTATAATGACTCAGCATTTTCAAGTGCATTTATCAATAAGGAGGTGATCGGTGACCTTAATGAGACACATTACAAACACAGCTGGATTTCAGTAGCTTGAGATGTGGCGGGTGGAAAGGTAAAATTGTGGCGGTAGTAGCAAACGTGGTCAATTCTTGTAAGTGATTTAGCTGTGAAGGGAAGGAAACAAAATGGGGCATCTGAAAATTTGCTTTCTTTTTAAGATGGAAGAGGTTTGAGATGCCGATGGTCAGAGTCATCTTTATTTTTATTTTATTTATTTATTTATTTTTCGCTTATATGTGGAACCTTTTTTTTTTTAACATGAGCCATCTTTATTTTTTAATCTATATACCTGGCATTCATATAGATTTTAGAATGTTAGAATAATTCTAAAATTGAAAAGAATCTTAAAGGTAAATTAAATTCTTGCCCAATAGGAGCATCCTTCCTATAAAGGCCTCTTTAGAAGATCATCCAGACTCTGCTTGGACACTTCCTGCGGTAGGGAACTCACTACTTCGTAAAGGCTCTGGTTTCATTGCTGGACAGCTCTGCCACTTAAAAAGTACCTTCTTAAAATGACACAGATATGCTTCGCTCTGATAGGGAGAACACTTAATTCCAGTTCTGCCCTCTTGGCACCATGTGTAAATATAACTATTGCATGTCCTTAGTTTTTCCAGTCTGTCAACCCTCCCCATCACCCTGATTGCTCTCTTCTGGGTGAATTCTAGTTTATAAATTTCTACTTTAAAGAGTAGTGCATCCAATTAAATAATTAAAAGCAACTTTTCAACTGTCACCTTGTCGATGTTGAATACATCAGGACCGTACTGCCTGTGATCTGAGTTTCTGTTAACACAGCGTGAGTCTGTTGTCAAATAAACAGTTAAAAAAAAAAAAAAGCTACACTTTGCCCCTTATCCTGTCAGGCATGAACCTGCATTCACTGATTCTCCTGCAAAGGAACATTCGGATGATCCTCTTGGCTTTTAATAGCATCCTTATCATGACACTAAGTGGTCAACTAGGCCACCCAAATAGTGCTTCGAAAGGACCAAAGCCTAATCTTGTCTTTTTCATGGATACCTGTACCCTCAGTGTTATTGCACAGAAGGTCAAGGAATCACCTAACCTGTCATTAAAATACAGTGCACAGGCAATAAATATTTTTCAATGTGCTTTTCATTAAATACTCTATGACATTTTTGTAGAAATAAAATAAAGCTTTTCAATACAGTGGCCTTCTTAGAATTTAAATGTTAAGGCCTTTTGAGTTAAGCACCATTTTCTCAGGAAAGCATCATGATGTGTAACGGCAAGTATCTATAGTAAATTCTGTGGAAACCTGCCTGTTCTTTGGGAGCCCATATCTTTGATCATTTTGATTTTTCATTCTTTTATTTATTCAGCAAATATGGAATGAGTGCCTCCATGTGCTGAGTACTGTGTTAAGTCCTGGGGAGAGAGCAATTACCCAAATCCATGAGATTGCTGCCCTCAGAGGGTGTACATCCTATGGAGACATGAACGTTATTACCCAAGTTAACACGCAAACAGCACTGTTTTAGGAACTAGGATGGAGCAGGGTGATGCCTAATTTAGTTTGAAGAGTCAGAAGAGTGACATTAGGCTGAAAAGGATGAGTAGGTGTTTGGGTTTTTTTCTTGTTGTTTATTTGTTTGTTTCCAGAGAAAGTGGGGGAAGAACACTCCAGGCAGAAAGAACATAAAAACGTTCTATGTGAAGTTACCAGAACTGGTTTTTGGTTGTTGTCATTTTGTTTTGTTTTTATTGTCTGTTTTCCTTCCAGTTTTAGTGAGATATAATTGACATACAGCACTGATGTACAACATAATGATTTGACTTCCATACATCATGAAATGATTACCACAGTAAGTTTAGTGAACATCTGTTATCTGGTGTAGATACAAAATTAAAGAATTAGAAAATCTTTTTTCTTGTGAAGAGAACACAGGATTTACTCTCTTAACTTTTCTGTATAGCATACAGCAGTGTTAATTATGTTTGTCATGTTGTAGATTACATCCCTAGTACTTATCTTGTAACTGGAAGTTTGTACCTTTTGACCACCTTCATCTGATTCCCTCTTCCCCCATCCCCACCTCTGATAACCATAAATCTCACCTCTTTTTCTATGCATTTGTTTGTTTGAAGTTCCTGGAGCTGTTTTAAGCCTTACTTTTTCCCTGTGACATAAAGACGACTGAGACACCATGGTTTGATCTGTGCAAGTGTGAGACATATCTATAAATTAGTTAGTGAACAAATTTTGCAGGTGTTAAAAAATAGATTCTTTGGCATGCAAATAAACTCAGCCTCCTCAATCATATGTATAAAAGGAGGACATTTTCTGAAGATGCCAGCTCTTTCAAGGATGATATCAATATTTTTGCATCTGCTAGGAACTGGCACTGTTTTTTTCCGTTCAGGCTTACTTCGTTAAACAGCAGGAAATGCTTTGAGTGAGAGGTCCCCTCCAGGTTAGCATTTGGGGGATCTTTTTCTAAAAAAGTTCAGCATTATTGAGGTACAATGGACAAATAAAATTGTAAAATATTTAAAGTGTATGTTGTGGTGGTTTGATATACACATACATTGTGAAAGAACTCCCTTCGTCTAGTTAATTAACATATCCATCACTTCACATATTTCTATATATGTATACACACACACACATACACATATATATATGGTGAGGACATTTAAGTTCTACTCTCTTTGACAATTTCAATTATACAACACAGTTGTCAACTATATTCACCATGTTTTACGTTAGATCCTCAGACCTTATCATCAAAAAGACACGAGATAAGTGTCGGCAAGGATGTGGAGAAAAGGGAACTCTTTTTTGGTGGGAATGTAAATTGGTGCAGCCACTGCGGAAGACAATATGGAGGTTCCTCAAAAAATTAGAAATATGGGAATTCCCTGGCAGTCTAGTGGTTAGGACTTGGTGCTATCACTGCCGTGGGCCCAGGTTCGATCCCTGGTCAGGGAACTAAGATCCTGTAAGCCACGTACAGCCAAAAAAAAAAAAAAAAATTAGAAATAGAACTACCATAAAATCCAGCACTCCCTCTTCTGGGTATATATATATCCCCCCCAAAAAAATGAACACAGAATATCAAAGAGATATCTGTACTTCCCCTTTCATTGCACCATTATTCACAATAGCCAAGATATGGAAATAATCTAAGCATCCGTCAATGGCTGAATGGATAAAGAAGATGTGATATATATACACAGTGTAATATTCAGCCATGAGAAAGAAGGAAACCTTCCTGTTCGTGACAACATGGATGGACATTAAGGGCATTATGCTAAGTGAAATAAGCCAGAGAGACAAAGACAAATAGTGCATGGTACCATTTATATATGGAATCTAAAAAGCAAAACAAAACTTAAATTTATAGAAACAGAGAGTAGAAAAATGGTTGTCAGGGACTATAGCATGGGGACAATGGGAAAGATTAGTAAAAGGGCACCAACTTTCAGCTATAAGGTGGGAGACACTTAAAGATGCCTTAGAATTTGTGAACAGTCAAAACAGAATTAATAATATTTGCAGTTTTTCTAAGGAAATACGTCCATTGTATTTTCAAGCCCTCTTTCATTGGTGGTTAAGCTTATGCTGAGCTATATACATTCCATTCTGTCAATATGAAAGATAGAGATTTTTGAGGAAGACAAGAAAAATGGAAAGCTGATTTCATTTAAAAAAAAAAAAACTGAGAGAAGTTTCCCATCTGTATTTTCATAGTTAATTTCATGTAAAAGCACCAGGGCTTTTACATGAAAAAAAAAAGCACTAGGGCTTCCCAGGTGGCGCAGTGGCTGAGAGTCCGCCTGCCGATGCAGGGGACACGGGTTCGTGCCCCAGTCCGGGAAGATCCCACGTGCCGCGGAGCGGCTGGGTCTGTGAACCATGGCCGCTGAGCCTGCGCGTCCGGAGCCTGTGCTCCGCAACGGGAGAGGCCACAGCAGTGAGAGGCCCGCGTACGGCAAAAAAAAAAAAAAAGCACCACTCTACTTCAAATAATACCTGATGGCTGATCCTTCAGAGAGCATCTCAGGAAAGATTCACTGAATAGACATTCTCTGGCAAAAGTCTGAATAGTTTGAGATCTGTCTTTAAGACCCACCAACGTGAAGTGGTATCACAGGGCTAGGGTGACTAGTTGTCTCAGTTTTCCCAGGACACTTCTGGTTTTAGCATAAGGAGTCCTATGCGCTAGGAAACCCCTCAGTCCTGGACAACCTGGGACAGCTGGTCACTCAGACTGTACTCAGACATGCCAAAATAGACATGGTATTCTTCACAGAAAGTAATTAAAAGTAACTAAAGATATGTTGGCTATTTGCAGGGGCAGGGTAAGTAGGTTAATTAAAAGGGAAGTTTTTAAGAGAAGAGATTTATAAGAGAGTCTCAAGGACGCATTGTACAACATGGGGAATATAGCCAATATTTTGTAATAACTGTAAATGGAAAGTAACCTTTCAAAACTGTATTAAAATTTTTTAAAAAGAGAAGAGATTTACATAAAACTGGCATTCATAGGCCATGAAGACCCCAGTACTGTGGGACAACTTGGGAAGTATAAAGCGTGTGCACACACACACACACACACACACACACGCACACACACACATGCCCTTACCTCCACCCCATCATATGGACAGTTATGCTGCCTGTGACCAAAATCCTGCAGGGCTGCTATTGATGATTGTGTAAATTAGTTGGGAACTTTTTCAACAAGGAAATTTTAGCAAGACTTTTAGCCAAATTTGGGAGTTGGAGTTAACCTTTTCACCTCTGTGTGTAGCATACTTGAATAAAACAAAGCTGTCTCACACAACAGTTTTAGCTGGTAATGTTACATGCTCATTGTGTCAAAAGCCATAAAGCCTCTGAACGTACATCAGAATCTGAGTGTTAGGTTTTGCTTCCCTCCAGTCCTGGGTTTTGGGGACCTTTTGGGGGCTACATTCATATATTAGTCTAATGAGTGGCTGCGAAACAGCTGCCTTCCTTGTCCTGCCTTTGGGGGATGATTATGCTCTAAGTTCTATGCCAAGAATGCTCTGGATATCCTGATGGAGAACTTGGCCGACGCAGCCATTCCCTCTGTCAGCTCACATTAACACAAAACTTCAGATTGAGAGTCTGACCAGCTTATCTGTATGGAGAAGTAGTTGGGAAAAGGTAAAAGTGATTAGTAGAAAATGTCTGCTAAAATGAGATATTTTAATTGTGTCACTGAGCTTAGATAATAACCAGAAGTGGGTTCTTTTCTTTATAGACAAATGAATATGACAGAACAAATATGGTGATGCCAGTATGGTTTTAGGTTTCAGCTTTCAGGGTGAAGCAACATCATCATTCCAAGGGGCAGCTGACCTTGGTTTTCTGTAATCTACACATTTCCCCTTGTTCTTTCTTCTGTCTTCCCTAGGGACATATTGTGGCTTATGTAGTGATGGAATGAACGAGACTGGAGAAGGTTGAAGCTAGGAGTCCAGTGAGACACAAATGAACAAGCAAAGGGTAGGTAGAAGCCCATGAGACCAATATCTGGAGTGGGTGATTCAAAGGACAGGTTGATAGGGACCTGAATTTACAGGTAAGTCCCAAACTAGAAGGTTCAGCTATAAGAAATGTTCAGGAGGTAAGGGAGAGAACACATGTGGGTAGGATGTGTAATCTATGAGCTCTCAAGGAAGAGGAAATAGATGAAGGTGTTGGAAGGCAGGTGATTGGCATTGGAATCCAGTCATGAAGAACCCAGAATTCATTGGCAGGAAATCCAGATAAACACAGTCACCAGGCAACCAGGTTGGAATTCTATCTCAAAGTGGCAAGGAAAGAGATCAGTTACTAGAAAACCAGTGTACCTAATTCAGAGAGGGATCAGCTTCCTCCAATGGAACAGCAGAGATTATGTACTCTACTCTCATTTCTATGTTGTATGGCCAAGGAAGAAGGTATTTAAACCAAAATCCTTGACATGAAAAAAAAAAAAAAACCCATAAGGGCCTCCTTGTAAAAAAATTCATTAAGAAAACAAATCAATTTATTAGCACTCCTTGTTTAGCTAATTGTATGAATCAAATGTTTAATTGGTACACATTGTAAACTTTCAAAAGAGTTAAGAAATACAGCCCTTTATCCCTGAGTAGCAGCTATTCATTATGAAAATGGCCTCACCTCTAATTGGTTGTCATGCCTTAGCTGCTGAGATGCAGAGCTCTACACCATGCAATTTTGATCTGGGGTCTATGCAATCAGTCCTCCTGGTTGCCGAAGCAAAATCTCCAGAGATTTATTCCAGCAATCTAAGAAATATGAAAGTCCTATAGCACATAATTGAATTTTTTTTTTTTTTTTTTTTTTTTTTTGCGGTACACGGGCCTCTCACTGCTGTGGCCTCTCCCACTGTGGAGCACAGGCTCCGGACGCGCAGGCTAACCGGCCAGGGCTCACGGGCCCAGCCACTCCGCGGCACGTGGGATCCTCCCGGACCGGGGCACAAACCCGCGTCCCCCACATCGGCAGGCGGACTGTCAACCACTGCGCCACCAGGGAAGCCCCATAATTGAATATTTTATAGAAAGTTCTCTCTGGATTTTTTTCACATGTACTCACTGTCCAACTGAAACTCACTTGCAGGTTATAAATACAAAACTAAGAGTAAAATTCAACAGTGGAATAAAGAAAAAGAAGTTCACTGTAAATCCATAGTTGAGGTGTTGAACATATATGTACCTTATAGAGCAAGGAAATGCACTTTTCACCTTGTACATTGTTTTTAATTATCTACAACAGTTCCCAGCCTTAATTTGGGTCAATAATTTTAAACATTCATATTCTTTAATGGCTAAATAGTTTAGCTCTATGATGTATATATAGTACTACAGAGAAAGAACTATTAGTTATAATAAATGCTATCACTTTGGGTTTTCACTCTATGCCAGTGGTTCTTGAACTTCGATCTCTGGACCAGAAACATCAGCATCACCCGGGAACTTCTTAGAAAAACAAATCTGGGGTCTAGCCCCAGACCTACAACCAAAAACTCTGGAAGCAGGGCTAAGCAATCTGTTTACCAAGCCCTCCAGGTCCAGGCAATACAATGGATGTTTAAGTTTGAGTACCACCACTCTCTACCAGGTGGGTGGCTTCCAAATCCACATCTGTTCCCAAATACCAGATGAGTGGAGACTTAGAGAGACGGCACAACCCCAAAACACGTCGAAAACCAAGTGTTTCATCTCCTTGGCATATTGGTTCCTCTTTTCGTATTTTCTATATTAGCTAATTAGGTCTGCCCCGTTACCCAGTTTATTAGTCATCTATTGCTGTGTAACAGATTCCCCAACCTTAGCAGCTGGAGACAACAAACACTTATTCTCCAACACAGTTTCTGAGGGTCACGATTCTGGAAATGGCTTAACTTCGCGGTTCAGGCTCAGGATCTCTCAGAGCTGGTGGTCGAGCTGGAGCCATAGCCATATGAAGGCTCCTTTGGGTTGGAGATATGACTTCCAAGCTCACTCACACAGCTATCATCAAAAGGTCTCAGTTCCTCAGCATGTGGCTTTATCCATAGGGCTGCTCACTAGAAGTCAGCTGCTTTCTCAGAGCAAATATCTGAGAACGAGCAACCAAGACAGAAGTCACAGTGACTTTATAACCTAATACTGAAAGTCACACACCATTACTTCTGCCATATTGTATTGGCCAAAGAGACCAACCCTGGTGCAGTCTGATAGGGGACTACACAAACACGGGAATGCCAGGAGGTATGGACCATGGGGAGTCATCTTGAAGACTGGATACCACAACCACAAGAAACACCAGGATATTTTCAACTCTCTTATTCTCACTGCCATATACAACCCATGGCCAAGACTCATCAATTATACATTCAGTATCTGCCATGCCTGTCTTCTTCTTTAGAGTCCAGTTACCCCTGCCCTAGTTCCCTGTTCTTGCCATCTTGCCTCAAGTCTGTAGCCTCTAGAAATTCCCTTTCACAGCTGGGTAACATTTCTAAAATATAAGTCATATCTGCTCAAAAACCTTCAAAACCTCTCTGTTGCCTATGGAGTAAAGTATATAATCCTTAACATGGCATTTAAAATCCCCATCCTTTAACTTTAATTCATCTTCCCAAACCCATTTCCCACTCTGACTCTCCATCATCCTGTCCTCCTGCCAAACGATTGCATAGCGCCCCTAAGATTCTATTCCTGGAAGAGCTCCTTTGCTGTGATTCTATTCACCTAGAATATACTCATTCTGCTCCAAAACCCAGATCCAATGCTATCTTTCCTGGTACCCTGGTCAGAATGGATTGTGTTCTTCCCGTACCATTTCATTATACTTTAAATACAGAATTAGTTGCAATTGTAATTAGTTTTTTAGGAGTCTCTGTCTCACAAATAGATTCTAGTCACACCAGGGTTAGGTGTTTTATTTTAGTTATCTTTGTAATTATCAATAAAATACAATACAATATCAAGGTCTGCTGAATTATAACACAGTTTCAACAGGCCTTTGCATATGGGAAATGATGCACTCTATTCTCAAAAATGCAAAGGGGAGATATTAACTATGACTTTGAAATAATCATGACTATTCCTCTGAAGAGTAATCATTCCTACAAGCTTCCAACTGGAAAAACTGCCTATCGTAACCAGGCTATATTACCATTTGAAAGACTTTTCCTAAGGACCAATGGAAGAGTCTCCTTCTATGCAACATGGAAACCAGAGTTGTGTGGGGAGATAGGAGCGGTGAGTGGTTTATGAACAGGCTAAATAGGGCGACACGTGCTCCTAAAGGGGTTTTATCAAGGGGAGTACCTGATCACTTTGCATTTGGGGGAATAAACTCTGGGAGAATCAATTGCAGACTGCCCAGCTGAACTGGAGGGGTACAGGAGACTAGAGAACTAGTCATGAGGGTGGTACAGGAGTCAAACCAGGGGGTGATGGTGGTAGATTTGTCAATGGTGATAGCAGAAGAGATGGGGAGAAGAGAGTCACTTAAGAGGTAGAACTTGCCAGACTTGCTGATTGATTAAATGATTGATTGTGAGGAGACAGAGATGAAGGTCTAGAATGACATCCAGATGTGGTTTTGTACCTGTGAATCTGGCCTATGTAGCATCACTCAGTGGGGAAAACACCTCAGAGCATTACCTTTATGCAGCACGGCACCCCCAGCATCATGTTATATATGGAAGACAACTCAGTCTGGAGGAGGCCACAGGAGATATCAGGAAATTACACTGACCTTTTTCACAAATGAATAGGCTAAAAA